GTGAGTCTAAAGAAGAATTTATGGAGTAGTATCAACATATGGGGTAATATTGGACTTATGGACTTGATCTGGACTGGGCTGGGATGTTTTCTCAACATACAATTGCTCTTTGGTATAAAACTCTCTCTTATACCCATGAGTATTTATGAATTTGTTTCTCTAGTCTACCCAGACTAACACAGCAAATATACACCAGGGAAATGAAATTTATTGATCAACATACTTCAATCACTGTTAGATTAAGAATATGCAATTACAGTAATATTTAACCAACCAATGGAAACATAGAAGACTTCAGCCCTACATGCCTTTACCTTGTATAGTAACTTCAGTAAATATAAACAATAGGAACTTAAAAGTATGACCAAAAAGCACATTATATGGCCCTTAATGCAATGCAATTTGTTCCATTTTATCAATGTGGCAAATTATTGTCTTCCTTTAGCAAAAAGCTGTAAAAGAAAATTGTTCTCTCTCAATTTAAGACAATGGTAAACACACCCCTCCAGGATCCATTTAAACTGCACAGGATAAAAATCATTCCCAGAATATGTAACACCTATCAAAAAATCTGCTGACCCAGCGCTGTCTTTCTCCCAGTGTCTAGACTTCTCTTTAGCCCCTAATTCTTACCAAACACATTGGAGGCAAGCTAGATTATGGGTGGGTAGGGGTAGAGGAACACACAGACCACCTACAGACCGAAGCATTAAAAGAAGATATTATAGTATCATAGCTGAGTCTAAACATCATGTCACAATAGAGTACCATATTTTCACACAATGTGCACACTAACAGGTTTTGTAAACTGTGCAACCCACTCGAGCATTAGTTTCCTCTGTGCACTGTGTGCTGTATATGCATCTTATTTCTGTTGATGTGTTGTATGTAAAAAATATATGGTATGTTTTATAAGCACAAAAGTGGATTTGACGATAAACTAGGAGCCAAATCAGCTACAACTAAACAATCCAGGGCACAAATTTCAAAATTCCAAGACTCCACTGATACGTATAATCTAGGAGGTATTTAACAAACAACTTCTAGGGGTTGGTCCACCAGATGCAGGCAGCATTACATTGTTCCAAGCGAGAGTAGCCAGAGGAAGAAATGGAGCGCCTGGCAGCTCTTTAAGGAGGAAAGAAATCCAAATTCAGCAATGTTTCCTTGGTAATCTGGGCAGCACTCTCAAAGGAGACCCAGGGGCACGCTGGCTTAGGCGTCACGCTGGTCACCACGTTGGTGGTGGGTCCAACGCCCCAGCCACTCTGTGGGAGCAAGATGAAGTTAGCTGCTCCCATAAAGACTTACGGGCTCAGATACCCTACGGAATGGCTCTGCTCTGCCCTCTGTTAATCAGAATCAACTTGAAAGCAGACAGTGTGTTTTGGTTTGGGGATCTCAAATATCAGTGACTCCGTGATCACTCCAGAGTACACCATCTGCAGGGGTGTTGCCCTACGGTAAAATGCAGGGAGAGTGCAAATTCTTCCCAACGTATTGGGCACTAGAGGTGGACAAGCCAGGAACAGAATGTGTTCTTTTTTTCCTTTTCATTAAGAAAATACTTCCATAAATCAGTAGAATGTGCTTATAAGAGGAAAATAATGCTATCATGGAAAAGGGGAATGTCAGTTCCCAAAAAAGGAGTCCGAGATGGACTTTGAGGCAAGACACTGAGACTGAGTGAGCGCGAGTAAGGGGAAGGAGAGGGACAGTCAGTCAGCCCAGTTGGACCGTGAGCAAGAACTAAACATGCCCACTTTACGGTCTTTCTTTAAGTGCTTCCGACGTGATGTTACACAGGACCAAGTCCCTGCCTTCAAGGAGCTGATGATGGTCTAGCTGGGGAGGGTCGACAATCAACATATGCACACACACACAAGTTCCTAGGTGAACATTTCAGACAGTGAGGAGAATAAGCCTGTGCTCCATTACAGGGGACTGCTTAGGGGGAGTGGTGCCAACTTCATGAAGACCGTCTGGGCTGGCCCTCTCGGTCCCACTTAACCTGCCATCTGAATGATGCACAGGGAGACACTCAACACAGAGCCTGGCAGGAGAGCGCCGATCAGAAGGCATAATACGTACAAAGGTCCTGAAATGAGAACAGGCCAGAGCAATAAGGTAGGTCAGACTTTAGAGTGTCACTTAAAGGAAACAAAACAAGTCGTATTTTAACGAGGAAAGCCTCAATGCCTTGGGAAGACAGCTAATGTAAAAGCAGCTCATTCTCCTTCAAGGCTTACGAGCATGGTATAACTGTGCTTATGATGTAAAAGCGCTCACCGTGAACTTACCTATATCAATATCAGTAAACCCTTCTGCGCTTATTGCATCCACTGTGCTTTTGTCGATTGTGTCTAGGCAAAGGCTGGCGAGTTGAGGCTCATCAAATAATCGAGCCTAAACATAGAAAAAGATCGTTATTTTTCCTTCAGACTCGATATTCAAATTTGATAGTGTAAACAGTTACAACTATAGTTCATTATGCGAAAGAACATACTTAAAAACAACTATAATGTATATCCTAAAGCCATTTATTCTACAATTAGAAATGAAAAGCTAAGAACACATTGTCCCCCTGAGCTGAAGAATTTATATTATAAACAAGAATCCTGTTAGTTTTCTTCTTACCTCTATGGGCACGGCCCGTTTTCTTACACGTTGCTTATTTTGATTCTCTGGGATAGACAAGGCAGACGCTATTATGCCTAGTTTTCCAATGGGGAAGCAGAGGCTCAGAGCGGTGTTCTGACTTGCTTCCTATCATTTAGCTAGTTTCAAAGTTAGTACTTATATGGAGGTTTGAAGATGTTTTCACTAATTTTAATTGTCATGTACACGAGCACAATCAGATCAGGCTTCTCGCTCATTTCTTGTTCTTATTAGGGAAGGGGGAATCGAGAACAAGAATTTTAAAGCACGACAGTGCTAAAAGAGAGCTAAGGGAAAACAGGCCCATCAACAGAAAGAGCAAATCCACACGATGAATAATACTAGACAACCCTGTGCACAACAATATGGACAAGCCTCGCTCACACAGTGGTCAGCAGAAGAAAGCACAGGGCTTGTACTGCGCAAAAGAGGATATATTTCAGGATTCCAGAAAAGCTAATGTGGGCTCTAAGACATCACAAGTTAACCTGTACTCTTATGATATATGCTTTATTCAGCATGCATGGTGTAATTTTATAAGTCTTTAGAAGGGCGGGGGACACACTGAAGGCCAACCCCAAATGGCATTACTAAATCAAACACTGAAAAAATCAAAACGCCAAAAAAAGTAGCCATGATGTTGGCACACAAATAACTAGGCTTTCACTGTGGCCAAGGGTCAGCTCTGTCTGCATGAAGTTCAAGGTCAAGACTCATGTGATAATAAGCACTACATTTCTGGGTCTAGTAGTCATCTGCTGAGCAGATTGCCAAGTAACCACACCATAAATGACAATATTATCTGGTGTGACTACGAATGCTTCAATTAATTTAAAAAGAAAGCCCACTTTGTAATGATTTAATAACTAGGTCACTACTAAGCATGTGATTAGAGTATCTAAACAGTCACTTTGTGTTTATGGTGGAGAGTAGATAGCAATAAACACATCGTTTGTGATTTTAAAATGCAAGTATGTTTTCAATCAATATAGTATGTTCTAAATGACAGAGCACTTCAAATATTTTTGTAAATGTTATGTATCTAACATTTTACCCATATGCACTATCATTTGCTCTTTCTCTGTGTGTGTGTGTACATGTGCATGTCTAATATGTATGTCCGTAGATACTTCAGAGTGTAGTACCCCCTCTCCCCCACCCCCAAAGGAGAAAAAACAACCTGCTGCCCGTCAAGTCAAGGCTGACTTGTCAAGTCAAACCTGCTGCAGGTTGCCAAGACGGTAACTCTTTACAGGAGTAGAAAGGCTCAGTCTTTCTCCTGAGGAGCTGCTGGTGGTTTCGAACTGCCAACCATTCAGATAACAGCCCCATTTGTAACCAGTACACCACCAGGGCTCCTGCAATAAGGGCATTTCCTTAGGTACACAGAGTAGATGACTTTGGTAAATTTAGTAATTTTATCTACTCTGTCAAATTGATCCAAAAGGATTCAATAATGGTGTTCTTAAATTTTGTCTTTGATAGCATTTGTGTTCCTTTAGTAGAGGATTCAGTCTAAGATCACGGTTCATTCATTTAAAACAGTAATTCCTTGGCATTTGGGTGAGGTTTACATAAACTAGATCACCACACTCGATAATGTCTAGACACATTGTTCAGTGACCCTGGTGACTCTCTTGCCCATGCGTGAACACTCCCTGTTCTGTTCCATTTCCAGTCATCTAGGTCCCTACCCCTTACTGTCTCTCTCTCTCTTTTCAAAAAGTAATTGTTGAAGCGAATGAGTAACAAGAAAGAAAATGTTCTAAAATTGATTGTAGCAATGATTGCACAACTACTTTTAATATGTTTAAATCATTACATTGTATGCTTTGTGAATTACATGTCAATAAAACTATTAAAACTAAAATTAAAAAAGGCAAGTGTTAACAATTTGGTCTCTTAGAGATGGTTTTTAAAGGAAGCACAGCACCCACAGGTGATATTCTTTATTTTGTGCGCCAACCTGCTAGTTAGCTAGAAGGTGGCCTCAGTGGACGGTTTCACTCAGGGCCATAATAGTCCTAAGGTGGCCTCTCGTGTTGTTGCTGCATTTTTTAAATACAAAAAATGTACAGGTGGTTAATAAGGGAAATTCTAGCAACAAATAGTTTAAGTGGCCAATTACATTTTAGTTAGTATTCATGCCAACAATGCTAGAAATGATTCTACGTAGGGTAGCAAATTTACTTGTGGTTCA